CGCACTTTGTTCGGCATGTGCATCTCCCAACGCGGTAGAGAGTTGGCGGTATGCAGTCTGGTAGCGAGAGAGCAGCGCTTCGGCGTTGGTGAGGAGGTCGTGGAAGGAAGAGGGCGCCAGTGGATCGGCAGGTCCGTGTGGGAAGAGCGACTGCGAGATGCTCAAGTTGAGGAGCTCATCGTCGGGGTTGTGGTATGTGGGAGACTGCTGCGGAGGGGGTACAGCGGCGTTCTTTTGCGTGGACAGCAGCCACGCGAACTTGCTGCTAGTGGTGGGCTGGCTCGGGGCCTTGCTCGGGGTCTGGGTGTCGTCTGATCGTCTCGGGCTCTGCGATGTGCCCCTCGTAAGGGAAGAGCCGCGGTTGAAGAGGTTGGTCATCATGTTGCTGCCTCTCTGCTCTTCCTCCTCCTCAGACTCAGAGTCGTATTCCTCTCCCGACTCCGAACCAGAATCCGAGTACTCGTCTTGCTGTCCGACACCCAGCGTCACGGGTGCAGAGGAGCCGTTGAACCAGTTTTGTAGGGCCCTAATCTTAGGCTGGCTAGCGCTGGACTCGATAGCGCCTCTGGAGGGGATGAAGCTTGCCAAGGACTTTGTAGGTGAAGATGCTCTTGAAGTATGTTGCTGGATTGTCGATGTTGCGCGATTGAAGTTGTCGAAGATGGTGCCGGTCAATGTCCGCTGATGTGTTCGGCCAGATCGAGGGAAGTCTTCTAGTGGGGAAGGTGCATGTGGGTCATATGCCGTTGCAGTAGTGGGTGTTAAAGCGGAAGGAGGTGGTTGAAGGCCGGTAATGTCCACGTCGTCGAAGCTGTGCACTTGGTCGCCGACCACGGGACTCGAGATCTTTCGACTGTGGTTCGAGCGGTGCGTCGCATAAGGGGCCTGAGGCGGCTGTTGGAGCTCCACGTTGTGAGGGGCGTTGCGGCTCATTCCAAACTACAGCCGCTAAAGGACGTCCGGTGCCGGGATTGCAAGAAGGCACGCTGGTCAGCGGGCGAGGAATGCGTCAGTCGCCCAAGGATCGTCGAGCAGATGGATGTTTACGTATGAAACGCGAAAGCAACGGTTTCAATGCTGCTGCTAGGCGGGGTTGTGTTGAGGGTAACCCGGCCAACACTGTCAATCTATCGATAACAAGGCGGAGCGAGGGTCGTGGGAAGGTAAAGCAGCGGTCAACGAATGTTTGGTGGTAGAAGTGGTAAGAGACGCAGTAAAATGTGTCACTGCCGGTATAGTGTACCAGAGAGCAAAAAGAGGGTTCAATGTTTCGTGAGCAAAGGGCGAGGTTTTGTCCTCGAGGGCTGTTTCGCGTGGTTGGCAGGAAACAGCGTGGCAGGGAACTAGATTTTGTGAGGCTGGGAGGGCTAGCTCGCCCCATCACGTACGCAACGCACACCGCAACACGTAGCCGTCGCTTACAGAGTCCAATGACGCCTTGCCAGCCAGAATGCTCTAATGCAAGACAGCCTGTAAGCTGCCTTCGTCCCTGTTTGCAAGCCGTTCGGTCTGCGTTCGCGTTTCGAAACATTTCATCGTGCAACAGTTAGCGCACGGCCCAGTACGCGTTGAAATGAGCAGGGAAGGCCTATCTGAAGAAGCTCACTCAACAACAGGAGATTCAGCGACTGAGACACTGATCGTGTGTATCCTGTGATTGCGGGATCACATATCTCTCTCCCATCAGTGGAGGTACTCCCACTCGCCCACTGCACTTACCCCACAAATCTTCACACCGAATAATCGCGTACCCGTACAAGTTCACCGCATCTTCTTGTAGCTACGCTTTTATTCGAACTGTCTAGCTCTGCGCGAGCAGGTGCGCGTCTTCTGACGTGCCCCACCGCTCCGTTCCATCTTCGGGAAGTACCACCCAGGGCGCCTTCTCTCGCAGAAATATATGCTTCACCACTTTGGGTGCTACTTCCGTCTTAAGGGTCTCTAGATCGACCGTTGCCATGCACAACCCTAGACCATCGGGATCGGAGGGATATGACATAGAGATCGGAGCTCCGCAGCCCGCGCAAAAGGTACGTTCCGCAACGGCCGATAGTCTTAGGACTGTGCGCGTGTCCGCATGCGTGAAGGAGATGCTGTCTTTGGGAACGTGTGTAAAGGGCAGAAAGCCAGAGCCTGAGACTTGCTGACATGCGCGACAATGGCACAGTGTGATGTCTGAAGGTGCGGCGCTCGATGTGTATTGCACGCCACCACAGCGACATCCACCTTTGAATACAACGTCATCCTTCATAACTTGTGGCGCATATCTCGAACCGTCCGCAGCTAGATGGCACGTTAGTTTCGTCTGGTTCAGCTCTTTGGGTCACTTACGTCTCCGCGCAATACCGAGGAAGACCGAGTCAATCTCCTCAATCTTTCCGTCTATCGCCAACTTCTCCCACTCTTCCTTGTAGATCTTTTGCGCTTTCCTTCGAATGTCATTGTTCGCAAACGTTCTTGCAACGTCCTTGACAATCACATTTTCGACGAAGAAGTCGTCCCACTGTTCCATCTCATAGAAGCGTCTGCCGTATCCCGCTTGACTCTCTACGGTAACAACTTGATCTACCTCCACGCCCGCAGACTCCAGCATCTGCTTCAAGGTGTCTTCGGATTTGCTCCATGAACGATTGTATGGAATGGGAAGTTCCAACCTGCGGGCAACCCTCTCCAGTACCATGCCGGAGACCAAGTTCCTCGGATGTGTCGCATCCATGGCAATGACGCCTCCAGGCTTCAGGAACCCTGCCCAATGCTCAATAGCAGCTTTTGGATCGGGAAACAAGACCAGAGCAGAAGCCACTGTGATGATGTCAAACTGCTTTCCTTTGAGCACTTCCGTCTCTTCTAAATGCAGGACGTCGCCTTGAACGAAAGTTGTGTTTGCGTATTTGTCTCCCCCTTGGGTCTTTCTGTGAGTAGCGACCGCGAGCATACCAGGAGTGACATCAACTCCGATGACATGCCCTTGTGGTCCTACCGCCTCTGCCTCGCGGAATGTTAACAGCCCGGTGCCACATGCCAGATCCAGTATTTGTTGCCCTGGTTGAATATCGAGATAGGACATGAACCGCCTGGTGAAATCGTTGTGCCAGGTAGCGTCGTAATCCCAGGATTTCGAGTCGTAGAACCGGATAGCATCCGCTGCTTGCCGCTCGCCTGACATTTTGGCCGATTTGAAAGTATCGACCGTTGGAGATGGGAGAGCTCTTTTCATATGTACGGTTATGGGGAGGGTAGGGGCGATTGGCCAATGAGCGGCGGGCTGCTTTGAAATCTATACTTGCTTCCAATGTGGCCAGTCAGACTTCACCTCTGCTTCCTTCTCTTCTGATCGGAGATGACGAAGTTATGACGAACACAGACACCTGATTCCGTTGCGCAGCTTCGATCACTTTATGACTTCCTCAAGATTTCGTGGACGCCGCTGAAACTCCCGTGAGGCCGCAGGAGGGGTGCCGAAGCCGCGAACACTAGCGCCAGGGTTTCTGGCAAGCGCGAGCGACTACGGGTCTTGCCCGCTGCTTCAGGGCTCCTTCCACATTACTATTTTCAACTTTGATCATCATCACTAGAGCTCTTTCTCCCTAACCTGGGCACCGTTCCTCCTTCCTATACGCCGCGCATCCATATGTAAGCTGATTCTCATAGTTGAACGCGACCTCAAGACAACGCCATACAGTCTACTAGGCTAGAACAAGAGCTTGGAGACAGTGTAGCTTTTCGATCTCACCTCTCGCGAACAGCAACAACGATTGCGACCTTGGATGTCTCCCTGACATGCGAGACTCATGGCCGTTTCATGCATGTTGCGATAGTAGGGGCGTGGGCTTTTCCAGTACTAGAACAAACGCAACAGCAGCAGGTGTCGCAGAACCTTGACACAGTACCAGAACTGCAAAAACAATGAATTGCACGCGACAACTCATCCTGTGTCTCCTAAGGGCCCTTCCACGCTGATACTTGAAGGCATAGGTCGCAGTTCTCTTACTTGTTGAGCCCACAGAGGGACCTCTGAGCAGGATGTTGAAGATACAAGTAACAACATGTCTCCACGGATTACTGATCAGAGGTCTACACATAGTGGAATCAATGTCGATCATATACTCCCGGGTGATCTTGCATGGCCGACGCACAGGCTAAACGGCACTTCAGAAAGAGCCCCACTGCACCCCGCAACGTGGGGAAGCACAGAAAACCGAGATGGCGGTATTAATTTCCATTCAATGGTCGAGCCAGGGCTTCTAGAGTGCATACGTCTTCTTGCGTCCAATCGACTCTCACGTTGTGACGAGGTCCATTTCGACGTCCTGGCATGGCATCCGCTTCACTGCGCCATGCCCATATGAGTCGACAATACCCGGATTTGAACATTGTTCAGGTGGTCACTTCTCGTTTTGGGAGACACGGCAGGTCATGGGTGTTATAGTGCGAGGCGGTCTCCTCGCGGCTCAAGGGAACTTTCGCACTCCAATCGATGACACCGACTATACAGATGACGACTAATTTTCCCATCAATGAGCTGTCGATGCAGGGAAAGGTTGTGCTACTTGCTGAAGGCAGTACCGTAGATGCTTGCATGAGTTACATGGGAGACGTTGTGTATCCAACATTCTCATGCCAGACTGCACCAATGGCATAAAACGAAAAAGCAGTATATCATCCTACACGAGTCTCTACTGAATAGCCTCTAGCACTTACACTAGAAAGGGGTCTCGCAAATGTAGCAACCATGACACTCTGCTATGATAACCCCTGCTCCTCAAGCGCGTGGCGAGCATGAAGGAGACCAGCAGGCGCCAAGACGTGTTGCCTTTATTGCAGAGCAGTCACGCTACGAAGCTCACTTTGTCATACTCAGGCATTCATATAGTGGCTATATTTCCCCGCGGGAACACGGAATGCTTGTGGAGGTCGTCGTCACTACATAAGAGACGAAAACCCGCCAGCAATCGTTAGTGTTGGTCCATAAGATTTACAATATCACCAAATCGCCCACCATGAAATACTCACTCGTCCTCCCGCTCCTCGCTACGACCGTCCTTGCGGCACCGGCTACGGAGAAACGCCAGGACGCGACATGCACTGTCCCAACGACCTTTCCTTCCACCGCCAACTCCAAGTTGCCGAACCCCTTCAAGTTCTTCGACGGAAGGGCTGTTACTACGAAAGCGGATTTTGCATGCAAGAACAAGGAGGTCAGCGCTGCCATGCAGGCACAAGAGCTCGGTGACTTTCCCAAGAAACCATCAAGCGTCACGGCCACCTTCTCTGGCTCCTCTCTTTCCATCACCTCGACTGAGGGAGGAAAGTCGGTTTCCTTCTCGGTCTCCATTAAGAAGCCCAGCGGAACTGGCCCTTTCCCTGCCATCATCGCATATGGTGCTGCCAGTCTCCCAGTCCCAAGCAATGTCGCGACAATCACTTTCAACAACGACGATATTGCTCAGCAGCAGGGTGGCAACAGCCGTGGAAAAGGCAAGTTCTTCGACCTGTACGGTTCCAGCCACAGTGCAGGTGCTCTCACCGCCTGGGCATGGGGTGTCGACCGCATCATCGATGCTCTTGAGGCCACTCCTAGCGTTGGCATCGACCCCAAGCGCGTTGGTGTGACTGGATGTTCTCGCAACGGAAAGGGTGCTTTCGTCGCGGCCGCGCTCGTTGACCGTATCGCTCTGGGTCTGCCCCAGGAGTCTGGCTCTGGTGGTGCCGCCTGCTGGCGCATCTCCGACTCTGAGAAGGCCAAGGGGAAGAACATCCAGACCTCCAGCCAGATCGTCGGCGAAAACGTCTGGTTCTCCACGAGGTTCAACTCCTTCAGTACCAAGTCCAACACCCTCGCTACCGACCATCATCAACTCGCTGGTATGGTTGCTCCTCGTGGCCTGTTGGTCATCGAGAACGAGATTGATTGGCTCGGTCCCGTTTCTACTACTGCTTGTATGAAGGCTGGTCGCCTCATCTACAAGGCTCTCGGTGTGCCAGACAACATGGGCTTCACTGGCTCTGGCAACCATAACCACTGTTCGTTCCCGTCCAACCAGCAGACTGATCTTACTGCGTTCATCAACAAATTTCTGCTCAACCAGAGCTCGAACACGGCCAACATCGAGAAGGGCCCGTCTGGTGCCGATGCTGCGACGTACATTGACTGGACTGCACCTACACTTACTTAGGAACTGGGTCTAACCGTGGAAATATTGGAAACGAGGAGAGTTGACGTGGGCTCGATATGTACATAGTTGGCAATGCGTCCGTAGCTGAATGACATGTTTGCCAAGAATGTAGCATCTTTGGATTGCCCTGGTCGCAGAACCCTGCCCAGTCTGACTTGGGGCCAACATGATTACGCTTGGACTAGATGAATGCGCTGATCAAAAAGCAAAATTCTTCAGGCACTAGAAATTGAGGAGGAGATGTTTTCAGTTGTCTGGCCTTTTGTTCACATATGTACGAGGTCGAGCGTGGTTACGGATGGCTAAACAGAGCGATGGGAGCCTGCCACCGTCGTTCAGCGCAAATCCAGATTTCTCACCACCAAGGCCTTTTTCGCTGATAGAGTCGCTAAGCAGGCGTAGGGTTAGGATAAGGCGCCTCAGTCTATAATTTGGACATGACTGACCGAAATTAACATTAGAAACAGGCCTGGTAAGAAAGGGAGAGGGGTTTGATGTTCGCTGGACTGTGGTAGCAGGTTTAGAGGGGTCGTGGACGTGGCACCCACTCCACTCGTTCCTCCGCCTCCGATGCGGTGGCTTATTCGGCACTAGTCCACGTCAAGCGCGTTGTTTATCTGTCTACCCCACAACCACTGCTTCAGTGAACGTGAATGAAGACGGACGAGGAGGAGTGAAAGCAGCGCAACAGGACGCCCACCACGCGCTGATTGGCCACAGCCCCAATTGAGCCATCACATGACTGCCAAGGCGCTAACTCGATTGCGACGCAACAACGCTCCAGGCTAGAGGACGTCCCAGCCCGCCGCAGCAGACGTTCAACACCACTCCCGATATCACTCCCAGTTGCGCCCGCATCTCAATATCCCCGCAACACGCTGTCCACGACGCGTATAGCGGTTTCCAACGCTTTTAGAGCGCGCCCGCGCCTTTGCCACCTCCCCCACCGAAATTGCGCGCACCCCCTTCAGCCTCACCACACAACGCGACTCTGCCAACGGCGCACCCCCGAAGGTCTTTCATCGGCTTCATCAACACAACGGCCGCCACCACCACGACGCCGCACGATAATGTTATAGAATCGCTGCACGCGCACCCCATCCCTCCCGCGACTGTCTTTCCCTCATAATTGCGCGACTGCTGCCTACCTCGACCCGCGACCGCGTCGAGAGTCGACATCTCGCATCTTGGCCATCCACCGCGCACCACAAAATTTATACTGAACCACCACCACCATGGCGTCGGTTCAAGCCAACCCAGAAATGCCTGGGCAGGGCCCGCTCGCCGCTAACATTACGCGCGAGCAGATTCAGCAGGTCTTCCAGGTACGTACTGCCACTTAGCCGCGTGTTCCCTTGCGCCCTCGGCAGTTACCTTTGCTCGAGAAGCTCACTAACACCGTCTTTAGCGCTACACCCAGATGAAGCAACAAGGCGTGCCCGAGACCAACCCCGAGTTCATCAAGGCGCGCAATCTTCTCACCATGGTGCAGAAGCAAAATCAGTTCCAGCAACAGCAGAAGATGCTACGGCAACAGCAAATGCAGCGTCAACAAGGCCAGATGAACCCCCAAGCCGCACAACAGAACGGCGCCGGCATGGCCATGTCTAATGGCACCAAGCCAGCTGCTCCCACTGAGGGCAAAGTCGCTACGCCTGCGCCTGCCTCGAGCGGCCCTTCAGCTACCATCCAGACTGCGACTGCTGGCGGCCAAGCTCCTCAAGGCGACGGCCAGACCCCTACATCAGCGACCGCTGGCTCAATGCCGCTGAACAAAGATCAACTCCTTATGCTGCGCGCCCAGATTGGAGCTTTCAAGCACCTTTCCAAGGGTCTTCCGTTACCCTCTAACATGCAGCAGCAGATCTTTGGTCACCACCAAGCCAAGAAGCCCCAGAACGCTGCCGAGGCGGTAGCTGCCGCCTCTCAGATGCTCGACAATGCCACCCGTGCAGGCAGCGCCTCGAGCGCAAATGGCGGCGCAGTACAGGAAACCCGGACTCTACCTCGTCTTCCCGATACCTTTATCGATCCTTGGAGCAGCGAAGCCTTCCGCGACGTGAACTACATCTCCCACACCCAGCGCAAGAACCGACCATACCTCGCAACTATCATGCCTCAGGGCGTTGACATGGATGCGGTCCAGCAGAGCATGGAAGACATACGCAAGGAGCGCGAAATCCTCCTCTACAACCGTCTCACCGCGAGGAGGGCCGAACTGGAGAAGGTCCACGCAAACATCGGTTCTTGGGATACCAGCAAGACCGACACACCCGAAGATGATGGCAAGGTCAAACTGGCCCTAGTCATTGAGCAGAAGAAGCTTAACCTGTTGGAGAAGCAACGGAAACTGCGGAGAGAGATCGCCCAGCAGATGATCCACGCTGACAACCTTGCGATGACAGCGAACCGAACCGTATACCGACGCCTCAAGAAGCAATCGATGCGTGAAGCCCGTCTTACCGAGAAGCTGGAGAAGCAACAACGCGACGCACGCGAGACCAAGGAGAAGAAGAAGCACCACGAGTTCATCGATGCTATCCGCAAGCACCGCACGGAGTTGCAAGAATCTGGCACGGCTCAGCGTATGCGTCTGCAGAAGCTTGGTCGTACCATGATCACCACCCACCAGAACATCGAGAAGGAAGAGCAGAAGCGCATCGAGCGCACCGCGAAGCAACGTCTGCAGGCTCTCAAGTCCAACGACGAAGAGACCTACCTCAAGCTTTTGGGCCAAGCCAAGGATACTCGTATCTCTCACTTGCTCAAGCAGACCGATGGTTTCTTGAAGCAACTCGCCGATTCCGTCAAGGCACAACAGCGATCCGCAAACAACTCATACGAGCCACAGGAGCCCGAAGTGGAGAGCGAAGCCGAGTCTGGTGATGAAGAAGATCGTCCGGGCAAGAAGAAGACTGACTACTATGAGATTGCTCATCGTGTCAAGGAAGAGGTCACACAGCAGGCTTCCAACTTGGTTGGAGGTACCCTGAAGGAATACCAACTGAAGGGTCTGCAGTGGATGATATCCCTGTACAACAACAACCTGAACGGTATCCTTGCAGACGAGATGGGTCTCGGAAAGACTATCCAGACCATCAGTTTGATCACCTACCTTATCGAGAAGAAGCGACAGCCAGGACCTTACCTGGTTATTGTACCACTGAGTACACTCACCAACTGGACCAACGAGTTCGAGAAGTGGGCGCCGAGCGTTACCAAGATTGTCTACAAGGGTCCTCCCAACTCGCGTAAGCAATACCAGCAGCAGATTCGATGGGGCCAGTTCCAGGTTCTCCTCACCACATACGAGTTCATCATCAAGGACAGACCAGTCCTCAGCAAGATCAAGTGGGTACATATGATTGTTGACGAGGGTCACCGTATGAAGAACGCCGGCTCGAAGCTCAGCATGACCATCACACAGTACTACACAACCCGTTATCGTCTCATTCTTACCGGTACCCCACTGCAAAACAACCTCACGGAACTGTGGGCTATGCTGAACTTCGTTCTCCCTACGATCTTCAAGTCAGCCACTTCCTTCGACGAGTGGTTCAACACTCCCTTCGCCAATACTGGAGGTCAAGACAAAATGGAGCTTACAGAAGAAGAGCAGTTGCTCGTCATTCGTCGTCTTCATAAGGTGCTTAGGCCTTTCTTGCTCCGTCGTCTCAAGCGCGATGTCGAGAAGGATCTTCCCGACAAGACCGAGCGTGTGATCAAGTGCAACTTCTCAACTCTTCAGGCAAAGCTGTACAAGCAACTTGTTACACATAACCGACTCATGGTCAGCGACGGCAAAGGCGGAAAGACTGGTATGCGCGGTCTGAGCAACATGTTGATGCAGTTGCGTAAGCTGTGTAACCATCCGTTCGTGTTCGAAGAGGTTGAGGACGTCATGAATCCAACCAAGGGCACCAACGATCTCCTATGGCGTGCGGCCGGCAAATTCGAATTGCTTGACCGCATTCTACCCAAGTTCCAGGCTACAGGCCATCGTGTCCTCATGTTCTTCCAGATGACACAAATTATGAACATCATGGAGGATTACTTGCGGCTGCGAGGTATGATGTACCTGCGTCTGGACGGAGCGACCAAGGCAGATGACCGATCCGATCTACTGAGGTTGTTCAATGCTCCCGACTCACCATACTTCTGCTTCCTGCTTTCAACGCGTGCCGGTGGTCTTGGACTGAACCTGCAAACTGCCGATACAGTCATCATTTACGACTCAGATTGGAATCCTCACCAGGATTTACAAGCCCAGGATCGTGCTCATCGTATTGGTCAGAAGAACGAGGTCCGCATTTTGCGTCTTATCACTTCCAACTCGGTTGAAGAGAAGATTCTCGAGCGAGCCAACTACAAGTTGGACATGGACGGCAAGGTCATCCAAGCTGGTAAATTCGACAACAAGTCCAAGGATGACGAGCGAGACGCCATGTTGCGTATCATGTTGGAGTCTGCTGAAGCGGCTGAGAGCCTTGAACAAGAGGAGATGGACGATGACGACCTGAACCAGATCATGATGCGTCACGACCATGAGCTGATAACATTCCAGGAGATGGATAGGAAGCGTGCGGCTGAAGATCCATATGGTCCAGGTAAGCCGCTCGGTCGCTTGATCGGTGAGAGCGAGTTACCCGACATCTACCTTAACGAGGAGGCGCCCATTGTCGACGAGAAGGATGACACACCAGCTGGTCGTGGCGCTCGAGAGCGTACTCGCGTCAAGTACGATGACGGTCTTACCGAGGAGCAGTGGTTGGAGGCTGTCGACAACGACGAAGACACTATCGAAGCTGCTATCGCCCGCAAAGAAGCCAAGGTCGCCAAGCGGGGTAGGAAGAGTGGCGGAGCGCGTGACGAGGATTCGCCTGTGCCTTCACGTGCTAGTTCAGAAGAACCTATGCCGAAGAAGCGAGGTCGTAAACCCAAGGCTGAAAAGCGCAAAGCCGACGAAGCCTCCCTCGACGTTGACCTCGCACCTCGGAAGCGCGGTCGACCTGCTCCAGCCAAGGACATGTTGCTTCCTGACCAGCGAGCGTCGCTTCAGAAGGTCGTCAATGTTGTTTACGAAGCTCTCAACGATCTGGAAGAGGAGTCGCAAGACCCGAACATTCCCAACCGCGGTATCATCGACCCATTCATCGAACTGCCGGACAAGTGGGACTACCCAGACTACTACCAGCTGATCAAGAACCCCATCTGCATGAAACAGATCGAGAAGAAGATCAACAAGAAGGAGTACCAGTCTGTGAAGCAATTCCGTCAAGACCTTGGCTTGTTGTGTAACAACTGTCGCACATACAATGAGGACACATCGCTGCTCTTCCAAGACGCCAATCTCATCGAACAGACTGCACTTGACAAGCTCCGTGAAGCAACCGCGGACTTCCCAGAATGGCAAGATTACGACGACGGTGGCAGCGTGCACGGTGGTCTTAGCACAATGACAAGTGCAGTTGGCACACCACGAGCTGGCGTCTGAAGAACGTAAGTTGCACCACTACACACCATACATTGAGCATCTACTAACAGTACCAGATGATAACACACGTCCTCAAACACGACCGCGTGACACCGAACCACCTTATACCTTCTCTACATGTCGTTTATTGCCTCACTGTATAACTTGCAAAGACCTGGACGAAAGAAGATTGAAGAAAGATTTCATTCCAGGCATTTCCATTACGCGCTTGCACGGTTTTTCGTCGCTCCACCACACCACATTTGGGCGCGGCTTTTCCTCCCATGGTTTTAAGATGCTTGATTGAGTAACACGATTTTGGGGTTCAAGGGGGGGATTTTCTGTTCTTTTCAAAGTGGAGTTTGATGCATGCATGCATGGCTATTGTAGCCAGTGAAGGCTTAGTTTGGCTCGTCTGCCTCTAGATAAAAGGGCAGTTTGATGGGCCGAGAGAGGGAAGAATGTGATTGTTTGCATTCATTTTGACGCGGTTTGCTTGGTGTGATGGATTGATGGATTGATGTAGATGGCCTTCTCAGCTATGCAGTCACCAATCCAATGTAAATTCCAAATTCCACCCCTACGAGCAATGTGGCAGCCATCGGAGTCTTGTCCGACCATACGACCTGCTCACTTATGCCTGCTCCGCATTCCACTTGACGCAGTCCTGGAACTTGACGCCCGAACCGCCAAAGATATCCAGTGCGCTGCCGATGGTAAGATCCACCTTGCCCTTGCTCAGCTCCTTCACCAACTCTAGATCTTCAATCGACCGGCCTCCACCCGCATACGTGACGGGTATGCTGCACCATTCCGCCAGCTTGGTAACGAGTTTGTGGTCGATACCGCGTTGCAGGCCTTCGACGTCGGCGGCGTGGATGAGGAACTCGCTGCAGTGGGGTTCGAGGAGGGATATCGATTCTATTTATGTTTGTTAGGTTTTGTTCTGGGATGGTAAAGAAGGGATTGGGTGTATATTGTATGTACCTTGGTTCAACTCAAAATCGGTGATGGTCTGCCACTTGTTCGTCGCAACGAACCACTTGTCGCCTTTCCTTCGGCAGGAGAGGTCGATGACGAGTTTGGTTTTGTTGTTGTCGAGAGCTTGGAGGACGGCTTGCAGGCGGTCCATGGAGAAGGTGGAGGAGGGGAAGAGGTACGATGTTATGATTACCTACTGCGCTTCGATTAGTTTATCTACCTCTTATAATAGCGTGTGTGTGTGTATTGTTATAAAGCAAAGCTCACCTTATCCGCGCCTCTTTCAATCCATTCCGCCGCGTTCTTCTCTGTGATCCCACCGCCAACTTGCATGCCGCCTTCCCATGCTTCCAATGCTTCTTGCGCTGCTTGTTCGTTTCCTGGACCGAGCATTATGACGTGTGCGCCTTTTAGGTCATGTTGTTTGTATAGGTCGGCATAGAAAGCGGAAGGGTGCTCGGAGGTCCAGTTTGTCTTCAGGACGTCGGGGGTGGTGGTGTTGAGTGTGCCGCCGACGATTTGCTTGACGCTTCCGGCGTGTAGGTCTATGCAAGGGCGGAAACGCGTCATCTTGCGATGTGTATGGCTGTGGTGATGGTGGTGTTGCGGGGGAGGGGTTAAGTGAAAGACGGAGGTCCGAGCGAGCATTTGGCGCTAAGAATTTCCCAGGTCGAACTTTTGGATCGCCCCGGCTTGCGCTCAGCACAGCACAGCACAACGACACGGTAATGGCGCCCGCACTTGGAAAACGGAAGCGCGTAACGCGCAAAGAACTCGAACAACCGTCGCGATCACCTTCTCCCTCTTCTGGCTCGGGCGACGACTCCGGCGCAGAAGATCTCCAGGCGATATTCCGGCGCGCATTCGAAGCAAAGTTCAAGCCTCTGCCCGTAGAGCCCAAGAAACAGAAGATAGAGGAATCGCCCGTGCAAGATGAAGCAGAGGAGGAGGAGGAATCGGACTGGTCAGGCATAAGCGACAACGAAAATGACGTCGAAGTCATCGAGTACCAAGACCCAACGCGCGAACTCGACGAGACCGAACGGGCAGAAATGAAAGCCTTCATGTCGTCGAAACCGCCCACCTCAGCATCCACCACGACATCAAAGAACACCACAACCAAGAAGAAACAAGACGACGCCGACCCCAACGAATCCTCCATGCTAAAAAACGACATGGCCCTCCAACGCCTCCTCCGCGAATCCCACCTCCTCTCCGCCTCCTCCTCGGGCACCTCCACACCCACCCTCGTCGCCACCGGCGCCGCACGCCACAAATCGCAAGACCTGCACCTCCAAGCGCTCGGCGCCAAAGGCTCCATCTTCACACAGAAGAAGATGCCCATGGCACAGCGCAAACACATGATAGACAAAGCGCGGACGACGGAAGAGAAGAGACGCGCGGACGCAAAGGAAGCGGGAATTGTGCTAGAGAGGGAGAATAGGGTGGTTAAGAAGGGGCCGGAGAAGAAGAGGGAGAGGGGGGTTGGCGGGCCTAGTATAGGCAAGTTCAGGGGTGGGACGCTGAGTTTGAGTAAGAAGGATGTGTTGAGTATTACGGGGAGTGGGAAGAAAGGGAAGGGTGGGAAGAAGGGGAAGAGGTGAGGAGACGAGATACCCAATATGAGTTATGCGACGCGAACGATATCGTTTTTGAGTGTTCTGGATGCCCTTGCGTACATGTTTCGCGGACAAGAGAAGATTCGTGGTGGTGAAGACGAGGGACTGGATGGAGAGACACGACAAACCCATCGGACGCCAGCGCACGACTCAGAAAATACGAGCTTCGGTTCACGCGTAAAACACAGTGAATGTCGTAGACAAACTGTCACTGGGCCTGTTTACCGGGACTGACAAGGCGCTTTCACAGAGAGAGGAGAGAGGCAACAAAAAAAAGCCAAAGCTTTGGTCTTTGCTTTATAACGACCTCACACTCTTTCTACTACGAAATCAACTCACCAAGATCGGTCCTCTATGTCAAGCGGACTGAACCAACAAGGCTCCAACTTAAGCTACTTTCAATCCAGCACTATGGATACATTACTATCTTCTTCCAAACCAGCCTGCTCATCTACCCAAGACAGGCCGTTCCGGTTCCTAGACCTTCCCGCAGAACTACGATATATGGTCTATGGGGAAATCGAGACCTCGACATGACACTATCGACTCAAGGATCCAACATTCAAGCCTGAATCTGAGGAGCAAACGACTCAAGCATCATACATGACGCTTGCTGTGATGAGCCTACCAGTAGCCATACTCGCTACCTGCCGTCTGATTCATGATGAAGCAACGCCTTTCCTCGCCCCCAAGCTAATAACGCTACGTGATGAACCCTCACATTTCATCATCGACTCGACAAGCCTTCACAGCTTCGTTAACAATTACCGCAGCATTGGCACGATTCTCGAGAAATATGAGTACGACGAAATCGAAGAGACTTGGTTCGGCCCTGGTGCTAGCAAAGATCCTGAAACCTGGATCCCGCGCCATTTCGACATAGGATGCACTTACGACCCACAGTTCCATGTCTTCTTACGTGGCTCCAAAGAACACGCCGCCCTCGTCGAATTCTACAGAAAATGCCTTCAGGTCCGACGACGCCGATACACTACAAAGACAGTGATCACCGTTCGTTATCGTCTTGGGTCACCAGCAGATCTCGTCGGCGACTTGAACTTCAATACGTGGCTTGCGGATCGGGGGAGAGATGGCTTCGAATTGCAACTTAGTGGATTCGGCCCCAACGATGTCTTGATTGCAATGCGAGATTTTCCAATTGTAGCTTTTCCAATTGGAACACGCGGGCTGAGTATCAATCCCCTTTGGCAGGTCAGAGAGATTTCGGATGCGGAGTGGAAGACAGTGTCAGCAAGGGATGGCATTGTTGATGTGAATGGAGAGGGTGTACCACAGCCCAATGTTTTTAGAGAGCTAATTCTCTCAGGCATCATGAAGATGTGGGCTTTATTGGGAATGAAGTAGGGAGCGGACAATCTAGAGAGGACTCATACGGATATCATCTCTGTCAATCCTCTTTCATCGGAAAGGCGATGTAATAGTAGTTCACTATGAACAGATAAGACATTTATATCATCGATGGTGGTTATATACAAGATAGCACGCTGTTACACATACACACTCGAGAATTCATAGTATGCAACTGTAAACCATGCTTGTGCAGCGTAAACCGGGTAACACATCTCGTACAAATCATTCCATGAAGGATGTCGCGCTGATTTCCACCTACTTTACCTACTAGTACTGCGATAACCTAGAGCAAGCAGCGCCTACTCATAATTTCCGCAACACATACCATTCTTACACACAAAAATGCTCTCGAACAAGAGAAATTGCAATCATCAGAGACATCAAGTTCCTCCACCAGACTCCAACTTTACAACAACCACCAACCGCCACGGATACACATATCCAGACCCAACTATCCGAATTACTCGACATAGCCGCGCATTACTCGAACCTCGGGAGATAGGAACCAACAACTTGGTCCGCAAACCCTACGCATATGACGATCGACCCGTACCAAACCCGCGGCCCCATCAGCCCACCCCAAAACACACCTCACGCCCGCCCCGTAAAACGACCCGTCGCAACGCAATTCCCAGCGTGTATCGCCTACTCCGTGTGGACCCAACTACGCACAAGGCCATCACAAGACTATCTGCCCTATAATCCCGCCCTATAACCCACCCCGCGCTTAACCTGCCCTCTGCCCGCCCCAAACTATCTCGGTAGCGTACCAAACACCGCACGTTTGCGCCGTTTTTTTTCGCTGGTAGACGTCAGCCCTATCTCAGGTAGTCACTCCGATAGCTTATCGGGCTAGCAATAGGCGCGAAATTGTATCTAGACGTCATGTCAAGCTGACTGGCGCCCCGGAGATCTGCTGTGCGTCCCAATCATGTGTCGTTGCGCTTGTTTGGAGCCAAGTTGTTCGGGAGAGGGGGCTAGCAAGCGAGGTTTGGGATGGAGCGGTGGTTTTAAGGTGGGTTTTCGCTCGTCGCTTGTTGGCTTCCGCGGTTGAGATTGGGTTGGGCGCTTAGGTTGGAGCATCCCTCGAGAGGTGGGGATGTAGGGTGGTTGACGGGCGCGTTGGTTGTTAGGGCTACCGGTCAAAGTGGATAGGTTCGTTCCTTTCTGTTGGGGCAGGACGGGTGGTGGGCATTTTTGACCTAAGAATGGGTTATTTGGAAGGTTTTCAAAGAGACGGAGGATGAGTGTTTTCAACTGCGACGATGATAGGAAGGAGAGAGATGTTGGGATATTAAACTATTCTGCATACGAACATCGTGTCTTGGATATATGTAAGTGATGACCATATGACTTCAGCGATCAGTAAACACTTCTCTCAGAGTGAGGCTTCCTAGATCGCATCTTTCCGGTTCTTAGCACTACTAGTCGACTTTGTCTCATGATGTACGAGCGTGTTCTGAGTAAGCAAAAGTCTTACCAGTGCTAGATTTGTGTGCTACTAAACAAGAGCCACTGTGCCCACTATCAAGCGTTTAGTCCTGCCAGGTCCTATCTTCGGAATAACGGGTGTGTCTCGGATAAAGTTCCAACAGTTGCGCTTTTAACCAGATCTCTTCCTGTAGCTCTGCTAGCGTACCTGTCGCTTGATGTACGACGAAGCATGATGGATGATTATCTTCAAGCTAGAAGAAGTCAGTAGGGCGCCTGCACGGTAACCTGTCGTTTGAGACGGCTTGTGGGCCTCCATTATCAGCTACGAGGATAGTCTTGTAGACCGGACTGAACGAAAACTATGGCAGATGTTGGCACTAAGAGAACTGCGATGCGCCCAGGGTCCATATGATCTGCTCGTGCGATACTAGAGTTTGCGGACGCTGGCAACGGTGATCTCTCATTTTCGATGGTCAAATGTGCGTCCTAAATTGGGCGCGCCAGAGACGCTTGTGCGAGTAAGTTGCAAGTCTTGCGCTCGATGAAAATTGATATTGATGCCCACAAGAAAAATGTAGTAGTGAGCGCTATTGTAGCAGCTACAGACTAGACAGTAAGGCGTAAGAGTAGCGGGTGTAAGTCAGTTAGCCAGGACGCAGTAGAGACTGTGAATTAATTTGAGTCATGTATCGGGGCGTGGTAGCCAAAGGGCTGACGATGCCCACAAGTTGACCATATCATTTGTTGTTCTAGTCCAGAAGATGGGTTGTAGCCTCTTCAAAGAGGGAAAGAATGCCGAGCACATGGGATAGTCTTCAAACTATGTATTGAGAATTGAATGATCGCGCGCATACGATCGTGGGAATGTTTGAATGGAAACTTTCGTGAGCGATTAAAATTAAAATGGAGTCCTAAATAGGACTTGAAATCCCAATGAGAAAAATTGAGATACGGAGTTGAAGGAAGACGATGCAATCTAGTCCAGGACGTGTGCCTCTTTGGGACGTGTAATACCGTATGCCTCGACACTAGGTTCATCTATCTGAATGAAATGAAGAGGCTCTCACGTATTTCATCAAAGACCCTAGTACTGAGAGTCTCGATGTGGAGGACCGCTAAAGCAACATGGTGAGGGGTGAAACAAGT